GTCACGTCTGCTGTTCAGTCATTAACATAGTCATGATAAGGCTGAAAGATAAGATCCTGGAATATAAAGGAGGCCAAGACAGAAGCAAAGGAGCCTGTGATCTCCGCTGTAGCATTCTCAGTTCAACTGTCTCACACTACTTGACGTAATTCTGGGTCCACATCTGTACAAAGATAATCCATGAGGCTTAACAGCTGTAACTTACTTGTCATCCATATGTAGGCAGGGAGGGCACTTGATAGCCAGACATGTTTTCCACTGTACGTGCCGGACTTTGTATACTTGTCCAAATCCACCTGAGCCAATTTTCTCCCAGCTGCCAAACTCAGAGGAATCAAAGGTCCTTAACAGTCCCATATTCCAGTTTGGAGAGTCCGGGACGTCCATATCCGTGCTGAGAAACCCACCACCTGGGTAAACTCCTCTTTTCTTCGTCTCCAAGGCTCAGTGTGGGGAAGTGAACATACACAGCGACCTGCCTGCTTGTGAGCTCTTCCTTGTTTTTCCCCTGGTGTAGCTCAGTGTGGCCTCTCCCTCTCTTCAGGTGAAAAGAGGGGCTGGGCCTGCTGCCGTGACATCACTTCCTGGTTTCGAAACTCAGGGAAGCGATGGAAGAGTTGGTGACATTACGCTTTTAGACAATAGTTTCCCAGATGCCCTGAAGTGCCAAGCTCTCTCAGATTTCTGCCACAAAGAGCAGAGGATAATCTTCATCATGAGCCGGAGTCCGTGAGCCCAGGAATGTGTCACTTCATAAACACACCTTTGTCCTACTGTAGACCATTATCCAACCAGGCCCCTGAGGTAAGAGGAGGGAATACTCTTAACAACAGGTGGGTTATGTGATATTTACTAAATGGTTTATAAAAACGTGGACTCATACTTTTCAGGACAAATCTATTCAGGAGAGGACATCGTGCTCTCACATAGATGAGAACTGTCATCACCTCAATTATACCAGTGACACATCTGTGTCTTAGAATTGTGTGTGTGTGTGGTTTAGGTGAAATTAGCCCAGTTGTTTACTTGGATCATTTTATCAGTTGGTGTTTTAAAATCACAAGCCCATCACAGTACATTCTGTGGGGTTTTGCTCCAAAATACACAGCTTTTGTCAACATATGTGTACGTGATTTGATTGTGATTAGCCCCATATTTGCCTTGGTAACTTCACCCATTTGAGCCTTAGCCATGGCAAAAGCTTTTGAGCTGTAACTTTTATTTAATACTGGCAAATGTGTAACACTAAAAAAGAAATGTGAAGCCCCTCCACTTGTTAATATTTACATATTCACCAGAAAATCCCATTATATTGATAAACAAGAGTAAAACCTTTTTTAACTCCTGCTACACTTTGACTTTACCTGTGGAAAAAAAAAAAATATATATAATTTGATAATGTTTAACCAAGCCTTTCTTACAATTTTTTTTTTATTTCACATAAATTAAAAATGACAATGTTATAGTTAGTCTAGTCAAATTATTAAATAATATTTCCATTGGTAGTTAAACATAAATATGAATATTCCCACATTCAGTTTTTTTATATATATTCAGTTTGACTTTTTAGACTCTTTTTACTTTCCTCGTGTTTAGTTGTATAAGGTGTACATTTTCAATAACTACCATTTAAATGGTTTGTAGCAAAGTAAAATATGTTTCCTGGGTCAGTTGCAGTTTCTTTACCAATGATGAATGTTTAATTCATGAACATTTGATTTAACACAGTTTAAATTCAGAGTCAGGAGCAGAGTTACAACCCTGCGGCAGATAAAGATTCAGCTCAAGGACACGTCTCTCTTCCACAATAAGCCCTGCAGCTGCTGTTAATGATTCTTTTTTCACTTATCATAAAACAGCAGATTAATGTAGGTTAAACCAGCCTTATCCAGACATAAACACAATGAGTCCATTGAATGCATCATTCACATGGTTTATACAGCACCAAACCTTAAACTGATGTAAATGATATGAAATGATACATGACTGTATTAGCCCCTATGTGTCGGACATCATCCTGTTTTCATAACATCAAATATGCTCCATATTTTTATGGCTCCAAACCCCAAATTCACTGACATGGTATTTATTCATTCATATTCGCTTATTCATTTAAAAAAAAAAAAATCACTTATCACTTATCTCATTGTTTTATTTGGATGTATTTGGTGTGTATTTGTGTGTACATGTATATACACTGAATATATTTTGTTATTTTTAAGTGCATGGCGTAAGTTCCTCTCTGTGTTTCTACAGTTTCCCGTTGTGGCTGTTAGAGTTTAAAAATAAAACCAAAACATAAAAAAAGGAAATACCATCAACACACTTCACTTTCTTTACACATTCTCCCTGACTCACAAAAGAGACACAACAATGATGGCCCACAAATCACATAAACAAATCACACCACTTAACAAAAAGAGGATCGTATGATGCCTGATATTTACAGTTGTGACTTCCGGGTACCCTCGTGCTTTAGGGCATCTCCTCCACGGAGTGAAAGGCACAAGTCTCAGCACAACACAACAAACATAATGCTTTTTTTTCTCTTTTGCTTTCTTTCTGGAGACACGCACCTGACAACCCTCTATTTACCTCTGCTTCAACAGCATAACACATGATCTCATGATCTCGCCCTGCTCCACCCTGCTCTCCAGATTTAATTAGAAAACTGGAAGGACGAGGTATGAAGTCAAAGTATAAATAGTTTGTCACTGGGGGACGCTGTGGAGACAACGCAGAGATCTTATTGGATGCCATGGCACCGGGCTCCATGTCAACCAGCTGGATTTTGTCACTGCAGCAGAGATCAGTTGCCCCGAGGCCGCTGCTCTGCTCTCGCACTGAGGTGGAAGCTGGTAAACAGTGCGGACCCTTTGAGGTGTCCTCGCCTCATTTAAAGTGTAAATGTATTCTGAGGGGCTGCATCACGCCCGCTCATCATTAGAATGAAAAAAGGAGCTTTTATCAGTGTGTCACTAACATCGGCTTCTTTTGATCTACTTCACTGCCCTGATTAAAAACAAGAAAATAAATCAGGACCGTCCACTTTCCTCCGCTGTGTGAAAAATGGCTTCTTTTGTTCGGAATTGTAATGAGCTTTACAGGCCTGAGATACTTTGTAATGCATCAGTGAGCACAAGGTATTGGACAAGCTCCTACAACAGACAGTGAATAGCTAATAATATAATCTTCTAAACTATCAGTCCATTTATCACGAGATGTTAAATTACGATCATATCTTGGTTATCAGAGTGGTCTTCAGTCAGTCTCAGCTTGTGACAGTATGTTAGCTGCCATTTTTGATGCCCCATTTACAGGGCAAAGCCTTCACAGTGTATTCAGTTCTGTCCATCATTCGAGTTCATTTAGATTGTGATGGTTTGTCATTGAGTGTTAAAATGACACGACCTCATGTGGTTCTCATACTGTGTCCATAACAGGTGTAAGGAGTTCTGAATGTTTCTATAACAGCTCTTGTTTTGATGAACTGGGCTCTTAAGGAAATACACATCAATTAGTTTACCAAATCAATTGTGAATATTCAGAGGTACTAATACCACTAAAGTTCATGATGCTGCCAGACTATATCGCCATCTGTTGGTAGTTTCATGTTAAGGTGTCCAGCTCTGTGGAACAGATAAGACTTGATGGCTGTTTGACATATGTGCATAAATATGACTTGAAATCATAAATGTTATGGATCTAGGGAATCTAGGGATGTTTGAAAATCTGGTGCTGGTAAAAGTGTAATAAATGTTTATTTAGTGTGATAAACATGTCATTAAGTTAATTATTTAATTGATGTGGGACCAAGACACAAATTTTATACTATATATTACATTCATGGTAAAGTGATCATCACTATCACTAGCGGATGTACTGACTGCCTTACTTTTTCTTTACTGTAGTTTTTGGTTTCATTGTTTTTTTTAATTGCTCGTATACAGTTCTATTTTATACAATTCTTAATATCTTCATTACCTGAGTATTCAAAACCATGCAGCCTATGACTTATATCAGTACAACCTAGGAATATTCACAGTTACTCTTATAATCCCAGTTCTTATCATCACATTGTCAAAGCCTCACCTGCGACCCGGCCTCTCCTCCTACCTCATAGAATAACACTCATTCTGTTTGGCCTCTTCCTCCTATTTTCTGTTTTACTTTGATCATTCTTACCTTGTGTTTCCTTTTTCTTTACTCCCTGTCTTTGTCTGGTTTCCCACTTTAATGATTGCCCCTCCTCAATGTGTTTCACCTTTCAGTTATCTCTGCCTTTCCTTGTGGATTTAGACTCCACAGTCTTTTCCCTGTTTGTTCCTGTTCCCTGGTGTATCCCTGTATCCTTCTTTTATTAGTTCCTCTTCTTTGGTTTCTGCCCGTTTTACAGCCTGAGTTTTTGGTTTTTTGAAGTTCCGAGGTTCTCTTGAGACTGTGAGCCTGTCACATAGCATATTATTTTCTGAACTGTCTGCTTTGTGTGATGTCTACATTTTGGGTTCTGCAAACTACTTCCACCCAACAGTGTCACTCTAACCTGACAAGCAGGTTGAATGAACTCAAAACTTGGGAGAAGGGTGTGGCATGGGTCAGGAAAGAACCCTTTCAATTTTTGTACGCTAATTTCCTAAGGAAGAATTCCTGGATGGAAAAAAACAGACACATTGTGGGCACTGGAATATATGGGTGTGTGGAATTTGCTGCACATTGATTGCATTTGAGGAAACTGTTGGGCCTTGGCTGAGGTGAACTCTACTGAGAGCCATTCTAGTAAAGCACTTGTTCTGATCAGTGGTTCAGACACACATCCTTAGACCGTGTGATGCAGTCATGTAGTGCTGGACGGAGATCTGAGCTGAAAAGCAGATGCTCATAAACAGACCCAGAGAAACCGTATTGCTTGTGATTTAGATGACATCAGCATGGCAGAACCTCGCTGCTGAGAGAATGTGATCCCTGTTAACCTGAATTTATATGAAGACACAAGACAAGACCCATTTTAAAGAGTTTTTTTTTTTGTTAAAAAATAACAGTACAAAAATGCTTCCAGTATTTTTTTCCCAGACAGTTCAACAATAACTAGTTACAGCATTTAAAAATAAAGACTTCAGGAGCGAGCCACTTTTGGGAACATGACAACCATCACTTATCACTTCACCTGGCACAAGTGTTTTCATTTAGCTTTTACTGTAACATGTGGTCTTTTTCATGATTCAGTTTTCGAGCAGCAGATTCATCTTGAAGACATGCATGTGTTTATAAAGGCTGGTAAGGCATTTGAATATTCAACATGTTGCTTTGGTTTGAAATGTAAATCTTCCAGAGGAGAGTCAGGGATTCTGGCTGAATGTACCATCTTTTTTCTAATATGTTAATAACAGACACTATGTTTTGTAAGTATACAAAAGGAAAAAAAAAAAAGTAAGGTCATTCACTTCCATGGAGCTGGAGAGGCATCTGGTGACAGTTCAGGCATAAAATCTACTCGACTATGTAACAATGTTGGTGAGTGTGAGGTGACCGGCACCTCTATTCTCTGCTCAGTAGCCGAACATCTGCTGTGCTGAGCTGCTCTGGTGCTGGGGGGTGGGCGGTTGGCTCTGGCCGGGTCGACCCGGCTGTTGACCCTGGTTCTGGGCCTCCTGACTCTCCCCCTGAGTTCCCTCCACCACAGGGGTGACCTGGCTGCCCTCAGCTGCCGGTACAGGCCTCCAGGGCAGAGTCGGCGCCTCCAGCTGGTGGCCCATGGGGTTGACCAGAGTAGTGAGGTTGATGAAGTGGGTGACTGATTGAGCCGCCGAGCCTCCGCCGGGACCCACCGTCTCTGGGATGAGTTCGGCGGGACGGTTGTGGAGCATGGCGGAGCCGCTGACGGTGTCGAAAGTGACGGTGAGGATGGAGTTGTCCAGCGTGAGGGGCCGGTCGCTGGCTGTCAGGTGGCCCACAGCTACAGGCTGCAGGCTGGTGAACTGGGCAGGGGCTTGACTGGTGATGGGTGTGACGGTGATGTTGGTCAGCCCCACTGAGCTGTTGGGGGAGGTGGCTGATTGAGCGCTGGGGTCGGCAAGAACCACCACCTGAAACCGCAGGAGCAGATCAATTAGAGCAAGAAAATGAAAAGAGAAACTGCTTTCCATCCGCAGTGTGTAGTCAACTCCCTTTTCATTTGTCAAAGTCATTTGTTCTGGTTTTAGAAAGGAACAGATTAGAAATGTTATTGTAAATGCACATCTTCATATGTACCTGCTGGATGCTCTGCACAGCAGAGCTCGTCTCAGTTTCTTCACCGACGATGACGGTGTTATATTCTGGCATGGTTTCGTGTCTCGGCTCAGTGAAGTCGACAAACTCGTCGGACTCCGAGAGCTCCGGCTCAACTGGAACCCTCTGCTTCTTCTTGGGGTGTCGGAAATGTCGGATGGGCCTTTCCTGAGACATGCTGTCCTTTTCCAGGGTCAGAGTGGGCTGAGGAAAGAGGTTCAAACATGGACGACGTTTATTCAGGGAACTGTATAATTCAAATGATGAGAAAGATACATATCACACAGGATGCCCATCATAACAAAAGGTGCCATAGTAATGCTAAAATGGGGGCAGTAAGACAACCCATGCATTCATAATCACACATATATACTCTATATATATGATTCATTGATCCACCGTGAATAAACAGGGACTCTGTCAATTCTATCTTTAGTGTACATTCAAACACGACAGTAGGGAGATTAAATTATGAGGCGGAAAACATACAGTATCACCAGGCTACATCATCATAGCATCTCATTCTGCTGAGGACATTATGTAAAAACTTCTCAACTGATTTCCATAAAATGTTGTGGAAGAGTGGGGCATAACCCAAGGATGAACCCAATACATTTTGGAGTGGATCTGGACAAATGGACAGATCCAGGATTTAAAAAAAGATTCTTTGACTTTGTGTCTACTCAGTGCCGGTCTTTAGAAACAGTATGTCAACTCTTGATCTGAAAAGCTCACGTCAAACAAAAACTGGCTTCTCCATGATCAACATGAAGTCTCCTGTTTTCACACGGCAACAGTTTGTTGTCAGAGCTGCTCCAACATCATGTTTCATGTTTGTGTGCGGAGGCATGTATGCTGCCTCATTAAAGAAGTCCACAATTTGAAATCGAACCTGCATGGACGAATCATTGATTGACGAAGGTTCCTGAAGATCATCAAACTCATCCATTCTCACGGACGCCACCTGGAGGAATCACGATAAACAGTGGCAGTTGAAGGTGTTAGCTTTGAGGATTTGACAACAGCTACTGGCCTGAGTGGACAAACACTCGGAGCGTTTCCTAACAGGACTCACCTCAGGGTGTTTACGTCGCAGGTGTCGGTTCATGGATGCGCGGGTGGACACCTTTGTCCCGCAGAGGTGACACGACTGGGCCTCCACCTTCTCATGGGTGAGGTGCACATGTTTCTGCAGCATGTACTCTGTCAAGTACTTCTTATCACAGGTCGCACACGTCCACGTCTTCCCCACTGCAGTGAGAAAGAGGTCAGTAGGGTCAGTCCAGCTTACTAAACTCACTAATGTAAACACGAGTGTTCCTGTTTGTAAGTTTGATGATAAGCAGGGAAGCTGATGTGGACTGCTGCTCTGACTCAGAGTAAGTGGCTCTTGTGTCAGCTGCTGTGTGGCTCAGTGTGATCATTTATACGTCTGTATCAAAACAAGGTCTCGTAGGCGGCCTCCAGGAGAATATTCTGTTAAACTGCTATGAGGCACTATCATGAAACCAAAAAACATCAGATCTAAATCTCTCAAATTAAAACACAGGACATGTGATTGACAGACCAGAGATGCATGATGCAATAGTTGGACTGGTGGAAAGTAAAAGTAATTATAAAGCTTCAAATTTTCCCTTAAAGGACGAGTTTGACATTTTGTTAAATTCACACACCTCTACTCCAGAAACCATACATTATGTTACACATCATTGTAACTGCATTATATTATGTCTTTTCATTGTGTAAAGATTTCTGTATATCCTATCTGTCTTGTACATCACTGTATGTTGTCACCATTTCACAAAAAAAGAATCATTGCGATAAAGTAATTTTAAATGTCAATATCCCTTTAAGCTGCTTGAAAAAGATATGGAAAAATAGATCTTTTCCTTTTTTCCAGAAATTCTAGTTTCTGTAAGTTGATATGATTTTTATTCTACATGAATCTTTAACTATTGTTCTTTAATTATTCATGTAGCTCACAGCAGTTTTCATCTTTGGCTTATTTGAGCTGTTTTCAGTTTAACTAACCTTCCTGGTGATTTTTGACAGAAACATAATTCCATTAATTCGTTTTGTATATTATTTTTTTCCCCCTCTCAGTTTCTAACCAAAACCATTTTCCACATCCCAAAGTTCAGAGGTTTATAGTAAACATGTCCTTTACTTTCTGACTGGAGGTGTGGTATTTTATTCTCTGCTGCTGTTTGAAATCAGTCTGCACCTTCACTTCTGCCTCTGAACATGGCGACACAAAAGAACTGAACTACAGACTCCTTTGTTCTGCTTGTTGTTGGTTTATATAAGTAACATGAGAAACTTGCCTGTGTGGATGAGCTTGTGTGTTTCTAGAGTGGTCCTCTCGCTGAACGTCTTCCCACACAGCTCACACATGAAGTCCTTCACACCTGCAGGCACGACAATGACCACACAGTTAAATTATATACAGTATATATATATATATATATATATATATGTATGTATAAAGAAATCACTAGTGTCCTCAGACCTTTCATGAATCTGTATCACATTTTGACTCACCCGTGTGTCTCTTGTAGTGTTTCAGCATGTTGACCTTTTGGGCAAACTTGCGGTTACAGGCCTTACACTCATACTCTTTGATGCCCTTATGAAGCTTCATGTGGTGCCTCAGAGCGTGTTTAGTCTTCATGCCTGCACAGGAAAACCAAACATCAACTACTCTGCATCGATGCTGTTGTTTACACAGTTAAATGAAAGTCCTGCGATGTGTAATCGAGCACTGAGAGTCTCACCTTTCCCACATTCGGCACACAGGAAGTCCCGGATGTCGTCATGAACCCTGAGGTGCTCCTTCAGCATGTCCTTCCTTGCGAATGATTTGCCACACTTGTCACAGCTGTGGCTCTTTACCCCTGAGTGATCACACAAACACGTACATTCAATCATCATATGAAAAAATTACTTTTTACATTGTGTCTCCACATAATATACTGTATGTACAAATTGTTTTTAAAGTTCATCCAAAAATAATAGGGAATAATTAGTGCGGTAGAGCATACAAGGGATATTCAGCGTTTAGTTTAAAAAGGCAAAGAGATAATAATGTCTGATTTACTAAGCGACCACATGGCTTTCATGGTACTGCCATACAAGCCAGTAGCAAGTGAGATTTACCTTTAGCCTCGGCATACCCTCACGTTCAGCTTGTATCATAAATTACAAGGTCAAAACACTTGATGACGCTAAGGTGCACAACTGAAGGTATGTCCCTAACATCTGCTGGTGGCTGCTAACACCTGCTTACATCTACTGGTAGTTTAAATTAAATCGTGCAGAAGACCTTCAATTGAGGAGGGATATCCAAAATCTTGTCTAACATTCTAAAACCCCAAAGCATTAAGGGAACTGAAGTTCTAAAACTTGGGAGATGTTTTTAAGTTTTATAATATATAAGAAGTAAGAGATGGAAAAAGAGTTAAGAAAAAAATCCCAAACTATTATATATAAATAAATGTCTATCTTCCATTCTTCTGTAAAACATGTATCATACAACTTGCGCATCTCAAGCAAGTAAAGGGTCTGTATCTATAAAGATCTTCTGGTCTTGATGACCTCTCTGCTATGTGCGGCACGTTCTCTATCACACATCACTATAGCAGATATCTACCTGAGGAAAGTGCACGTTGTGCAGAGAGATCTCACAGTGCTGCTCACCTGTGTGGATGATCTTGTGTCGTTCCAAGTTACCGATGCTATTGAAGATTCGGCCGCAGATTTCACATGGGTGGATGTACCTGTTGGATGGGTGGAAAGATTTGAACTGGTTCATTTATTTTTTCATGCTGACTACACCTTTATGGTTTCAATTTAAACCATCTACTTTTAGCTAAGGCACTGAAATAACTTGAGCTCCAACACAACCTGAACAGAAACGTCGAAATATTTATTACACGTATGATACAAATGCAACATATTCCTGATATTTAGTTGTAGCTACATTAAAATTAATTAAAAACTAATATATGTTTCTATGTTTTCTATGATTTACATGTATTTAATGGAGTAAAAAATATAGAAAATATATCTAACATTGTGAGCCGAGGGGCTCTGCTTCCTTGTCTTACTTCTGCACTGCAGGGTCCGGCAGCTGCTCTCTGTGGATGACCAGGTGAGCGTTGTACGTGGCTTTCAGGGCGAAGCGCCGGTTGCAGATCCCACAGCCGTAACCTCTCTCCTTGTGCTGCTCCATGATGTGCTTCAGGTACTCTCTCCCCTTGGCAAACGACAGCTAGAGACGCACGCACACACAGAAGCTCATGAGTGTGTCTGTGATTGTTAGTGACAAATAAAGATGTGCGGTTCCATGATGCAGGTTACACACTGTAAGTTTATATTACATCATCTGCTCTTAGCTGAGGCCATTACACACCTAACTGGTGAAAGAGTAAACTTATTTTTTTTTAAATGAGTTTACACCAACCGTCTAGATATTGTGTGAATAAGCAGCTTCAGATAACGAGTGTGCAGATCTTTACATGCCCTTCAAGCCGATACCTACCTGACATTTCTTGCAGTTGTACTTGTGGTGCTCAGGATCGTCCTCCTCTTCATCATCGTCGTCGTCTGTGTCGTCGCTGTCTCCTGCCGAGATGCCGATTTTCTTGATGAAGCCTTCTCTCTCCTGCTCATCCATTAAGGCGATGTCCTGACAACCAAAAGCAGCTCTTTGAAATGATGAAAGTCAAAGGCAGCTAAGATCCAGAGGGCTCTTAGTTAATGTATCCAAGGTGCTATTTGAAAACCACAGTCACAAAGATGCTCTTATCTACCACTATTTTGATTTTGCAGGGTGAATTATGGACATTTTAGTTTTTCCATGGTGTCTTTATCACTGAAGTACGGAAGGAAACGGCCAGCACCTAATTCACCCCCTTTGTCCACCCCAAAACTTATGCCATTAGCCTGAAACTGAACGGAGCCACAGTCGGTGGTAAACTTAGCTCATTTACAAAAAAAACTATATAGACCTATATATTTAAATGCACAAAAACATTTGCTTGGGACAGATGTACTGAGCATGTGATGTACAGCGCATTGGTATCATGCCGTACAATTTAAGAATGTGTACGAGCCACAATGGCTTGACTGGGATTTCAGCTTGTGAGTCTGTGTGTGTGTCATCATGGTAAAATGTGATCACAGCCATGTCACAGAATTTGCTGGAGTACTTCGGCAGGTGTTTACGTGACTGTCTGTGTCTGACAGACTTTGTCACTACAACAGAATGCCAAGAATTCAAAGATGGGTGTGGTAAAACCTGTGTTTACTGAGTACTGTAATATTGTAGTAATGACTTGTATGAGAATGTATGTCTTGCTGTTAAACTGTGCTCCTACAGTTTAACAGGCAGAGCAGCTGCTAAATTGGAGCAAAACTAATTGCCCAGAGCAACAAAACAACATAGAGAAGTGGAACATTTCCTCATTTTAAATTTATCACAAAATTAAAAAATAAACCGGGGCCCAGTCAGTGTAAGTGACACAAAATGATCTGTGATCTGTGCATCTCTAATGCATTCACGCAGAATTCACACCAGTCTCTCTCTTTTCTCCGGTAAACCCTGGGTTGAGAGTGAACACAGAGCTGCACTGAGAGCTGCTGATGCTGATGGCAGTTGATAAGACGGGACGGGATCCCATAAAAATGCGATGCATCAGTAACGATGTGCCTATTAACAAAGCACAAAGGAAGTGGCAGTATGTGCAGTTAAACAGTTTCTGTGTTGTTTCCCGCGGCTCCAGACGGTAGCTGCAGACTGAGCTCGCAGCAGGATTCAGAATGGAGAAGCCTTCTCCCCTCGCTGCCTCACCTTGAAGTGAACGTGAATGTGATCTCGAAGGACGTCCACGCGGAAGAACTTGCGGCCGCAGATCTCACAGGTGTACTTCTTATCACCGTGAGTCAACAGGTGCTTGTTCATGTTGCTCCTGCAGGAGAACACCTGTGCACACAAAAGCACACACACACACACACATACACTTTACGCACGTCACTGTACTTGTGGCCACCTGGACTCTGTGTGAAGTTATTTGACCTGCTGCCATCAGGACCTTTGGTCTTTGCTGCTGTGCAGAGTTCTCACCTTGCCACAGATGGGACAGGGTGACGGCTCCTTCCTGTACTTGGTCCCTTCTTCTCCATTGGCCTCCAGGTCCTCTCTCTTCATGTGCTTTGGTCCTGTCCAGATGCATTATGGTTGTAGTTAAAGGTTCAGTGTGCAGGATTTAGGTGAACGGGATCAATTGGCAGAAATTGAATGTAAAATAATACTAGTGTGTTTTATCTAAATTGTACAAGTCGCAGATTCAGCTGCAACACTTCACCACTAGATGTCACTAAATTCTACACAAATGAACCTTTAAACAAAGAGCTTTCTGCCTTTAACATCCACGTTTTTCTTAAAGAAGTTCCACAATTGATTTAGTATTAATTAGAGTTTTTAAGGAGAATTAATATTAAATTAGTTTTTGTGAAGGCACCACTGGTGGAAAAGGAACAAACTGATGGCAGAAAACAAATCGTAAACAGATACCACAGATTCACATCTCTTTCTCCCACAGGAAGGAAAAAGTTTTTTGATCAATGTATGTTTAAATTGGTACAAAATATGAATACTGATGTTTGATGAGGTTTTTGCAGCATCACTGATAAATCAGTCTGCTTTGCTTCATAACATAATCAGATTGATTCTGTCAGGATCTGTTGCACACAGCTGCTTTACACTATGTGAAAATCTACACTCCATTACATGCAGCATTGTGAAAGCAGCAGGACACATATGTTGTGAAATCCATTATAATCTCATCATATTGCGTGCAAGTGACACCACACACACACACACCACAAACACCCCCACGCACGCACACAGAAAATCCCACACGCTCTGCCCTGGGCTGCAGCTCTGTGTGTTCACATGTAGCCCTGCACCATCAAAACATTATCTTTTCCTGGAGAAGTGTCAGTACGTTTGTTTAGGTATTGTAACCATGCTCCTCCATGTTTCAGTGCTGAGATCATGATGCAGCTCAACACAAAGAACATATTTCAACAATGTCTCCCGCATCCTGATAACAAAGCGGCTTATGTAGTAACTTGTGCCAGGGCCTTGCTCCCTTGCCCGTGCGTGACTCACCCACGCCGTGCCTCCTGTGGTGCTCCTGCATCACATCTTTGCGGTAGAACATCTTGTTGCAGATCTCACAGGAGTAGAGCTTCTCGCCGTGCTTCTTCTTGTGCTTGGAGAGGTTGCTGTTGGTGGAGAAGAACCGCGAGCAGATGTCACACTGGAACGTCTTATCATCTGGAGACGGAGAAAAATGACATCCATGAAAACTTAACATGATAAACTCTGGTGGGGATGTGATCAGAGATATTTCCAATGGGTAACGAAAAAAGCAGGGTTGTCATTTAAATTTGAACTATATTAAAATACTTGATTTTGTGCGTTGTGGTACCTGTCCTGCAGTTGTGGAACTTTAAGGCATTTTCCAGGCGGAAGGATTTCTCACACGTGTTGCATTTGTATTTGTACTCCTGGTCAGGCTGTTGGGTTCACATTAAAACAAAGTATTAGCCAGCGCTGGGAGTAAAAACCTGTGAGGTCACAGTCTGGCGTGTCACTCACCATGTTCTTGCTGTGCTTGTAAGAGATGTGCTGCTTCAGACTCTCCTTGCGGCTGAACAACTTGTCACATTCATCACACTTGAACAGTTTATCACCTGCGGGGATATACATGAGAGACACCTTCACTTCACACCAACACTTTGATCCAAAGAAACTTTTATTAGCCTGTGAACCGATGTAGCTGGAGGCACAGTCTGGTGTTTGCCCCTGTTTGTGTGAATGTGTAAAATAACGTATTTTTTGGAAGAACAGATTTTCACTACACTTGATGGGGGACGTACTGGGCAGTTTATCTCCACATGATCCACTTTTAGAGCTGTTTTGAGACACACTTTTTTCCAAGATATCTAGAATGGCTAGAGAGACAATCTAATACTAATATTGATCATAAATTACTCACCATAATACAATATCATATGATAAGTGACGTCACGAAGAAGTCATAATAATTGCATTAATCCAAAATTCATTTTTATCTCTGAATCCTATAGGACTATAGAACTGCCAAC